GTGCCTGTAGTCCCAGCTACTCAGGAGGCTGAGGTAGAGAATCACTTGAACCCGGAAGGCGGAGGTTGCAGTGAGTCGAGATCGCACCACTGCACCCCAGCCTGGGCGACAGAGTGAGACTCTGTCTAAAAAAACAAAAAAAGAAAGAAAAAAAGAAAACAAAACCAAGCCAGGGAAATATGGCAAAGGCCTGTATACTAAAAATACAAAAATTAGCCAGGCATGGTGGTATGTGCCTATAGTCCTAGCTACTTGGGAGGCTGAGGTGGGAGGATTGCTTGAGCCCAAGAGGTTGAGGCTGCAGTGAGCCATGATTGCATCACTGCACTCCAGCCTGGGTGACAGAGTGAAAGACTGTCTCAATAAAAAAAAAAAAAAAAAGAAAAAACCCAAAACCATTTAGTGGTTTATGTCTAAGAAAACTGATTCAGTAATTCCACCCCTAAACATATACCTAAGAGAACTGAAAACATATGTCGACACAAAAACTCATACATGAATGTTCATGGCAGCATTATTCATGACATCCAAAAGGTAAAAACAACCCAAATGTGCATCAGCTGATGAATGGTTAAACAAGATATGGCATATTTATAAAAATATGATTTAGTTGTAAAGAGAAACGAAGTATTGATTCTGGCTTCAACATGAATGAACCTTAAACTCATAATGCTAAGTAAAAAAAGCCAGTCAAAAAGACCACATATATGATATGATTCCACTTACGTAAAATATCTAGAATAGGCAAATCCATAGAGATAAAAAAGTAAATTAGGTTGCAGGGCTAGTAAGGGGGAAGATGAGGACCGACTGCTAATAAATACGAGGTTTTTGGCATTAAAAAAATTATAAAACATTGACTGCAGTGATGGTTGCACATACCTGGGAGTATACTGAAAAGCATGGAACTGTATACTTAAAACGGTAAATTACATGGCATATGAATTATGTTGCAATAAAGTTATTATTAAAAAAATAAAAGAGGGCCAGGAGCAGTGGCTCACGCCTGTAATCCCAGCACTTCGGGAGGCTGGGGTGGGCGGATCACTTGCGGTCAGCAGTTTGAGAGCAGTCTGGCCAACATGGCGAAACCCCATCTTTACTAAAGACACAAAAATTAGTCAGGCATGGTGGCACATGCCTGTAATCCCAGCTACTTTGGAGGTCGAGGCAGGAGAATCACTTGAACCCGGGAGGTGGAGGTTGCAGTGAGCCGAGATCGTGCCACTGCACTCCAGCCTGGGTGACAGAGTGAGACTTCATCTCAAAAAATAAAAAAAAATTGTATGTATGTAATTAGTTTCAGGGTACTCACTTTATCCAATTGTAAATGGTCTAAAAGTTTTCTGAATCCATCACAGAACTCAAGATGGTCCCAATAAACTGGATACTGCAACTGAAATAGTAACAATAATTTTATTTTAAAAATCATAAAAGTAAAAATACAACTCATGTATTTGAAAAACTTAGGACTCAAACAGTGGCATTTCTCGTTTGCTCAAGCGCTGCTCCTTATTCAAAATATGTAAAAATAAGCTCTCACTTTTTACGAAACTTCATAATTCACATTTTATCTAACAGACCAAATTAAAAGAGTATAAAAAGTAAGCACATTCTAATGATATTATGTGAGTAACAATTTCAATTCCCATCAATTTCCTTTCTAAACAGCTGAAAAAGTCTGGGGTTTAAGGATGAATATACCAGAACCCATCCCAGTAAAGAAATACGGTTTTCTCTTAAATCTAATTTCATTCAGAATTATGGCTCAGGAGAGATGGAAACAAAATTTGTTCTAAGGAGAGCTCCCTCTCTTTTTGGTAGCATTTCTTTAAGGGGGTATTCAGTAAAGCTGTTCCTCTTCTTTTAAATGACTTAGTTACTCTATTTCATTTATTGTACTTTGGGGTGTTTGTTTCTTGAGACAGTCTCCTCTGTTGCCCAGGCTGGAGGGCAGTGGCGCGATCTCGACTCATTCCACCTCTGCCTTCCGGGTTTGAGTGATTCTCCTACCTCAGCCTCCTGAGTAGCTGAGATTACAGATGTCCACCACCATACCCAGCTGATTTTTGTATTTTTAGTACAGACACAGTTTTGCCATGTTGGCCAAGCTAGTCTCAAACTCCTGACCTCAAGTGATCCACCTGCCTTGGCCTCCCA